TCTTCAGCGGCTGCTACGTTCAGCCCTTGGACCTTCTTCCCCTTTTCGTTCCTGACGTATTTGAGACCGCAAGCAGGGGTAATGCGACGTAAAAAAGCGCTGTAGGACGCTTCAAAGCTCGGCCTCTCGTGCTGGCAGTTTTAACTTGCTGCTGATAAAGCGTCTTTTCTTCCTTTCGTTCCCTGCTTTATGGGACGTTTTGCATCTGGTTGCTGGTTCGCACACAAATGCTTCTTAATGCGAAGCTAAAGCTGTTAAAAGGCGACGGACGCATCCAGGCAGGTTTCTTTGCTCTCTCGATTTGCATCCCTCAGCTCTGCTCCCTCGCTGCTTTCCTCTCTGAATTTGCAAGCGTTTTTCGCAGCCCACGAAGCGCTCGGCACCTTGAGAGCGCTTTGCTGGCTGACCGCAGCTAGGTGACGCGTTTCTGGGACCGATGCGGCTTCGCAGGGTCGAGCAAGCCAGGCGTGCCGTGGGGTTTTGCGTTAGGCCTTGCCTCCAGCGGAGGATGCTGTCAAACCGGGCCGGGGAGGCGTACCGCGAAGGCTGCCGAGGACGAGGACGGGACGGCCTGTGAACGCAGGCATGGCTGCGGATGATTAGATGTGGAATTGAAATGCAGGTTTGCTGTAGTCGAAGAGCGTGGAGGGAGAAATGTGTGGAAGAGGGCGATCTGAATTTAGGAACCGCGCAGGAAGTTAGGTGTTAACCGCTTAGCTCCCTGTCTTGGAGAGTTTTGTACGCCAATCAAAAGTACCTTAGGTTTTCGCGGGAAAACCTGCTCAGTTTGTGATCCAGGCGGTACGTAACTCCTGTGGACACCCACCCGTAGGTGCCAGTCTCCCTGGAGCCCTGACGTCTCTGCAGAGCTGTGCTCCTCCCTGCACTGCCCTTTATGTCCCTCCACCCTTCCGTGCCAGCCACAATCCCCGTTAAACATTGACATAGCAAACAGGCAAACGTGCTGGCGGGTAGCCCTGGGGCCCTTGGAAAGCCTGCCTCCGTAGCAAGGGTTTCCATCGGCCGACCAGCTCGAGTCTTTCAGGCGTACGCTTTTCTGTCGGGCTCGGGCTTGGAAACCACTGTGCCAAATTTAGAGACAAAGCGTAAATATTTAATTGTGGAGGAGAAAAAGATCTCTGGTCCTGCTGCAGTGCAGATCTAAACAGTCTCGACCGTGAAATTGCTACCAGTGTTTGATGGCAAGCGAGAGTTTGTTTTCTGTTTTTTTTAGGGGTCAGACAGACCAGTGTTGTAGGAGGAATCTTTGTGGGAATTTTTTTGAAATGAGAGCACATGTTTTTGCGTTTTTCCTCCTTTTCTGCTAGCTTTTTTGGCATACGGTTTTAGAGGGAGTGATGCTGTGGTTAATGGTGCAATGTAGCACTTTCCATCTGGGCCTTTGCACTCGCCCATCTTGCTCAACCTCTGCGCCGAGACTTTCAAAACTCCATCTCTGTGCAGAGGTAGGTTTTTCTTTTTCTGTCCCCAAGCTTGTAGCTGGGAGGAGACCTCCTTGCAATGAGGCTTTGCTTGGAAGGACCCTGCGGGCTTAAGGGCAGTGAGAAAAGCGCGAGGGCAGGAGTGGTACTAACTCATACCGTTGGTGAGCGGGAACTTGCACTGCCCCAGCGCAGTGCAGCGTCTCTGTTTCGTGTCAACTTCCCGTTTTACGAAGTAGCGCTCGTCTCAGCCTCTGTGGGCCTTATAAGGTGTGCTGTGAACAAGACAGCTCTCGGGCGTAGCTAGTTCCTCTGCAGCTTCTTGAGACGTCGCTGATCCTGCTGAGATCAGTAGCAGGACTCCCATTGAGCTTTTTTCTCATGGTGGAGGCGCTCACTGTAAGATCTTGCCGTGTGATTTCATGTAAGAACTTGTGGGCAGAGTTTACAGCCGTCTACTCTGGCTTTGATCGGCGCATTAACGTCTCTAATTAGCCTGGAACACATGACTACCTTCTTTCCTTTTGTATCTCTTCACTTGACTCGCTGTTATGGACCCGGGATGTTTCAGTATGCGTAGGTGTGCTTGTAGCAGTCGAGGTCCTGACAGCGTCTTTTTTGAAGAAGAGAAACTCTTGCTCTAAAGAGGGATGGGGGCGTGGGTGAGAGCTCGCTGACGCTCAGATCGCACACGAATGAGAAGATAATGGGAGGACTGGGGAAAACACGTGGTAAGAGGTGTCTGGCATAGGTTGGTTGTGCTTTTAGCATAGGACAAATCCAGATGTGCCCGTGCCTGGTCACACAACAGCAATAATCTCTAGTAAGCGAGCAGCCAGGAGGCTGCAACCTTTGCAGGCTTGGCTGTTTTCACCACACTGGCTGCCTTGAGATGCCATGAGACGAGTAACTTGTGATTTGTCCCCTTTCCCAGTGCTTGCCTGAAGCTCTCCTGCGTTGGCAAGTGCTACGTCTGCTTGCTTCACCCCCTTCTCCTTTCTCTCCTGGGGCAGATGGTGGCTTGGAGGAGATGGTGGAGGAGCTCAACAGTGGGAAGGTGATGTATGCCTTCTGTAGGGTGAAGGATCCCAACTCCGGCCTGCCCAAATACGTCCTTGTCAACTGGGTGAGTGAGGAGAGACCTTCTTCTTTCATAGGAGAGTCTCTCTTGAATCGTAGTTGCCAAACGCTCAGCAGCCAACATGTCAAATCCCCTCTACCAAGTTGTAAGACTGAGGATGTAATGTGTCCGCTGCTGTGGCTGCTGTCTGATATTAGAGGTCTATGAATGACCGAAAGGACCTGTCTAGAACAGGTTGAAAGAAACGGTTGAAGATCAGCAGGAGCCTGGAGCTCTCTTGTCGTGCAGCCATCGTCCCCGGGCAGGGGGCTTGTGACCTCCCTCCGGGCAGTGCTTGCTGCAGATCTGCTGTCGTGCAACAGCAGGCAGCTGGTAGCTTTGCAGGTTCAGGCCATGGCGTGTCGGCCCAGGGAGGCTGCAAGCCCCAGTATAGGATCCCATTCTCTGCGTCCTGCCTTATGCCGTAACTTTGCTCCAAGCAGTGGGCCTCTCTGGAGCCCTCCGCTTGGTTAGCGTGATGGCTGTGGAGATCATTTCTCAGGCCTAGATCAAGGTGTTGCTGCTATAAAAATAGTCTGGGATGGGACTTTCCGATAAGGAGGTCCTGATGATTTCTCTTTGCAGACTGGCGAAGGCGTGAATGACGTGAGAAAAGGAGCCTGCGCCAACCATGTCAGCACTGTAGCAAACTTCTTAAAGGTCTGTTCGTCTTTTCATTACATCCTCCCCAAATGGGTGGGCCCTGAACGAGGTCGTAGCCGTAGTGAGCCTGACGCACTGCATGGTTTATGCTGCTCTTCAGAGTGGCACAAAGACGTTTGCTTTCGATCAGGATCTTGGCCAGGAGAGATTTGGGAATGCTGCCCTCAGCACTGGCTGTCTTATTAGATACTCCAAAGCTGTAGCCCCAGCCTTTTAGCGTCTTTCCCACCAGGAAAGGGGCAAAGAAAAGTCACGGAGGTGTTATCGTTTCTCTTGAAACGCTGCTGGCAATAAGCCCCATATAGCTGCCAGCCACGAGGAGGCCTGCCACATCCAGTAGCTTCAATTGCTGCAGACGGACACCAGGTTTCGTTTAGACCAGGTATGCGTTTCAAAGGCTAATTTGCAAAGCAAACCTCTTCCTGTCAAAGATAGCTCAGGAGACTTCAGAAAAGGCAAGACGAGTTTCTTTCCTCTAAACTTTTGCTTTTCCAGCATCAGATTATCTGCCCCCCTCTTCCACAGTGCGGTTGCAATTTCCAATGACCTCTGAAATGCTGCTGTGGCCTGAGAAGGAGGTATTGTGAAGACTTGTCACTATAAAGACTCTGGTGTGACAGAGACCGCTGTCTCTTCCAGGCCTTTCCTTCCTTTGGTCTTTCCAAATGGAACCAAGTTAGTTACCTCCACGTAGCTTGTAGCTTGGTTGAGTAGCGATGTTAGAGCTGGCTGTGACTGGTGACCTCCCTTTGTCACTTAAACCCTTTTCCTTTGTTCAGGACCTCCAGGAACATAGCTGGGACCTGGCAAAGTCATAATCATGGATTCAGTGGCCTCTCGAGTCACCTCTCCTCCTTGTGTTGGCTTTCTCTGTGCTCAGGGGGCTCATGTGACCATAAACGCTCGTGCCGAGGAGGACGTGGAGCCTGAACTCATCATGGAGAAGGTTGCCAAGGCTTCTGGGGCAAATTACAACTTCCACAAAGAAACCAGCAAGTTCCAGGATTCGGGCCCTCAAGCTCCAGTGGTGAGTTCATTTCCTGGGAGCTTTCTAGGTCCCGCTGGGCTCAGAGCGTGGGAGCACTGCCTGCAGCATTCAGTAGGGGCAGGCAGTACCTGGGACAGCCCTGACCCCGCAGTAATGGGATGGAAAGGGCTTCATGTACTTTGACGTGGCAGCAGAAGCCCTACTAATTTTGCCCAGGGCCATTTTTTTTCTCTGGCTCCTTCCAGAGCGAATCAGAGCAGGAGAATTGAGCTGAGCATGCCATGAGATGGTGGGAGTGCTCCTGCACCTGGACAGAGATGAAGTGTCCTCGCAGCGCAGAGGGTTATGAAAAACGGAAAGCCTAAGCTCTCTTCCTAGCCTCTACCATTTCCTAAGCAGGGCTGATCCCTCCTGTTCTGTTCAGGCTGAATTTAGTGATGCAAAAGCTCCAGCATTTGACATCACCGTGTGTCTGTAAGGTTTGGAGGCTCTGCCATGCTGTGGTGAAGGCAAGGGTTGGGGAATAAGAAGTGTTGGTGCAGCAGCGTTTTGACCTCCTTGCAGACTAAAACTGAGGCTTCCTCCTTGTTCTGTGGTGTCGAGTGTGGAGCTGGCCAGAGATCTCAGCAACTTCCTTTCTGTCAACATGGAAATGTTTTGTAGGAAGGGGGTTTTTAACACAAACACACCAAACAAATGAGGTTTCTCAGCTGTACAAGGGAGAAACTCAGTTACACACGCTCTCTAATTCTGACTCACTTGACCCTACTCTGAAATGTGGGCAGAGAGAAAACCTAAGCTGTGCGAGACCTGTGTTCTGCTCCTTGCCTTGCTTTGGTGCAGCAATGCCAGGTTTTGAAATGTCCTGATCACTTCTTTGCTGGCTGCTCTGGCCTGGGCTCCTCAGCGTTTTAGCAACCTAATTTTTGCTTGAGGCGAGATGAAACCGAGCTTGGAAGTCCCTGTTCTTGGTAACGTGCAGATCTTTGGGTTTTGGCCAGTCTTTCTTTAAAGGCTGGGGTAAAGCATCAATTTATAGCAACCTTAAAAAAAGACACAGACTCTGCCAAACACTGACCAAGCTATGCATCTCAGCTCTGTGCTGGGGGAGAGCTGATTTTGCAATTATATTTTTATATCTCAAAGTGCCTCTTTTCCTTTCATTGCTAAATCTCTTCTATTGATCCTGTCACAGGGCAAAGCCGTACTCCTTCGGTAAGTATTTGTCAGTCTTTCCCATTTGGGCACTTTTTGCCTTTGTTCTGCCTCATTTTGCCTTTATAAAGTGTGCTGGCAACCTCACGTTTCTGCGTTCAACGCAGTCTGCAGGCTCTTGGCTCCCCAGGGCTGGATGCCCCCTCCCAGGAAAGGGGGAGAGGCTCTGGCCTGTCCCGTAGTCACTTTGTCGGGAAGCTATGAGGACAAATTTCTGCAGAGGAACGCAAAAGGCAGAGGGCTGCCTTGCCAGCCGGCTGCAGTTTGATAACTGGCTTGAGATTACCCAGTGATTCGCTCTCACACGTGCCTTTTTCTGCCTCCCTCCAGGGCTCTGTCTATCAGAAGACAAATGCAATGTCTGAAATCAAGAGAGTCAATAAAGACAATTTCTGGGCTAAAGCTGAGGTGAGTGCCGCAACTTCTCTTCAGTGGCAAGGTGTGAGTAAGACAAGGTGTTTGGATTTAGCTGGAGATTTCTCTCGCTCTTTCTGCCTCTTCCCTCTCTGGGCCCGGGCTCTTCTGGCTCACTCCCAAGTGCTTCCAGCTCCTGGGAACAAGAAGCTGTTTCTCTCCCTAGAGAGGAGGCTGCTTTAAACAACGTAACAGGAACTTGCTGAAAGCAGTTCTCCTTCCAGGCCTGAGGTTCCCAGTCTCTCTCTTCTTGCGGCCTCAGGTCTCCAGCGTGGCTGGGCCGGCAGTGACCGTTCTGGCTTTGCATCCCCACTCAGTGGTGGGGTAGTTCTTGGTTGCAGTGGGATGCGGCTGGGGGGGGGGGGGGGGGGTTGCGGGGGAGCCGGCACTCTCTGGAGCTTCCTGGAGGTGTCAAGCGGGTAGATTTAGAGGGACTTTCGACAGAAATAAGCTGTCAAAGAGCCTCCCTGCTCTCTTCTTACCCAGATAACACTCAGCTGGCTTGAGATGCTTTTTATCTCGTGTTAGTTTGGCACAGTGCTGTTGGACAGGCGTAGGGGGAGAGGGCTGTGCTGCAGACCACCTCCCAGGGGATGTCAAACTCTGTGTCCCCATTTGAGTGAGGGCCTGATTTTTGACCCCTCTGAATGTGTCTCCCCAAGGCCTGAGCAACAGGGCAAGTCAGCTCTGTATTTGCTTCCCATTCAGATTGGGTTCTGCAGGGGTTTTAAGCTAGTTTAGCGATAGTGAACAAACCTGCCCTTAGCCGGCCGAAGAAGAGGCAAAGCCCTGGTGCGAGCAGTTTCAAGAAGTGCTTTTATGGTCTTCCTCGGAAAGGTGGTTCATCAGATGGGGAAGTGCAGCATCAGAGGAGCTGAGGGCACGTGTTTCCTCCTACTGAAGCTCTGCGGGGAGGTAATCCCTGGCAGAGGGCAGCAGGGGAGCCACAAGCTGCAACCCTGAAAGCGCTCTAGTTGCAGTGGCCAGCACGCTGGCATCTTCGGGGGGCCTGTCCTCAACCTGATCCTGCCCTGGGTCTGAAGGATTATGGGCTGCCAAGGCTGGGATCGGGGCTAACAGAACCTGGGGGTTGTTTTATGAAGCAGCAGCAAGGTGCTAAGGGTGCCACGCTCCTCAGGAGTTGCCAGTAGATCTGCCGTGCTGCCAGGTGGCAGAGCATAGCGTGGGATCCCCATAGCCGTGGGGATTTCTCAAAGCTGGCAGCATTAAAACCGCTACTCGATGCCTGTCTCCCCTTAGAAAGACGAGGAAAACCGCCGGCTGGAGGAGAAGAGGAGAGCAGAAGAGGAGCGTCAGAGGCTAGAAAGAGAGCGTCGAGAGCGGGAGCTGCAGGAAGCAGCTGGGCGTGAACAGAGATATAAAGAGAGATCCAGTGAAATCGAAGCCCAGAAGTGAGTCCCTGGCGCTGACGAGTGTTAGTAGCGATGCCCGGAGCCCGTCCTGCTCTCTGGGATCTCGCGGCTTTGCTCTCACCGGTGCTGTGCACCGGCAGGGCTGGCAGTCCTTGCGGTCCCGTTCTCAGCATCTCTTTTGAGCCGCTCTCCCTGCTCCAGCCTCTGTGCTGCCAGTGGAGGGGTTGTTCCCCGGTGCCGTAGGGAGTGGCGGATCGTGTCTGCACACCGTGCGGTGGCTCTGGCTTTTGGCTAGTTTCTCAGGTGCGTTTCCTGCTGGTGCAATCACTGCAATTCCAGGAAAACTCCTTTAAAGTAGCAGCTGTTTAGGGGACCAGCCTTGACTTGCACTGAGGCACGCTCAGCCTGTTTGCCTCCACAGCACGCTGCCTTCCAGCACCCTCCAGCCACAGATCCGATCCTCTTGATAGTACCTGATGTGCTGTACAACCAGAACATCAGCCTGGTCCTACGTGAGGGCAGCATAAAAACAAGTTGCGTTAGCATTCATTAGTCTTTCTGGAGTTGCGGTTGAGGTTTGGCCTGGTGGGACCACTGGTCTCACGCGCCTGTGAGCTGTTCTGGCTGGGTTTTCTCCAGCAAGCTCCTCAGATGGAGAGAGTATCTTTTCCCTGGCTGAACTGCAGACAAGCTCGGGTGCTTGTCCGACCTCACCCGTGGGTCTCCCAGCCTGCTCCCTTGGATCCTATGCCCAGGATCAAGTCCTCCCTTTGCAGGGTGCTTCCGAAAGATGGCATCGAACCCCGCCATGGCCACCATTCATGGCGTGCCAGAGGCCGGGGCTGGCTGGTGGAAGGCTCTGCACCCTGCAGAATGCAGGAGGCTCATGCGGAGACAAGCATTGTGCTCTGTCTGCTTGTTTCCTTCCTCTC